CTGGTTCTGCTGTTACGTTACTCTACTGGTTCTGCTGTTACCGTACTGGTTCTACTTTTACCCTACTGGTTCTGCTGTTACTCTACTGGTTCTGCTGTTACTCTACTGGTTCTGCTGTGGTTCTGCTGTTACTCTACTGGTTCTACTGTTACTCTACTCTACTGGTTCTGCTGTTACCCTACTGGTTCTGCTGTTACTCTACTGGTTCTACTGTTACTCTACTGGTTCTGCTGTTACGTTACTGTACTGGTTCAGCTGTTACTATACTGGTTCTGCTGTTACTCTACTGGTTCTACTGTTACCCTACTGGTTCTGCTGTTACTCTACTGGTTCTACTGTTACTCTACTGGTTCTGCTGTTACGTTACTCTACTGGTTCTGCTCTTACCGTACTGGTTCTGCTGTTACCATACTGGTTCTGCTGTTACTCTACTGGTTCTACTGTTACTGTACTGGTTCAGCTGTTACTGTACTCGTTCTACTGTGTCTATACTGGTTCTGCTGTTACGTTACTGTACCGGTTCAGCTGTTACTATACTGGTTCTGCTGTTACTCTACTGGTTCTACTGTTACCCTACTGGTTCTGCTGTTACTCTACTGGTTCTACTGTTACTCTACTGGTTCTGCTGTTACGTTACTCTACTGGTTCTGCTGTTACCGTACTGGTTCTACTGTTACCCTACTGGTTCTGCTGTTACTCTACTGGTTCTGCTGTTACTCTACTGGTTCTGCTGTGGTTCTGCTGTTACTCTACTGGTTCTACTGTTACTCTACTCTACTGGTTCTGCTGTTACCCTACTGGTTCTGCTGTTACTCTACTGGTTCTACTGTTACTCTACTGGTTCTGCTGTTACGTTACTGTACTGGTTCAGCTGTTACTATACTGGTTCTGCTTTTACTCTACTGGTTCTACTGTTACCGTACTGGTTCTACTGTTACTCTACTGGTTCTGCTGTTACCATACTGGTTCTGCTGTTACTCTACTGGTTCTACTGTTACTCTACTGGTTCAGCTGTTACTCTACTCGTTCTACTGTTTCTATACTGGTTCTGCTGTTACGTTACTGTACTGGTTCTGCTGTTACTATACTGGTTCTGCTGTTACTCTACTGGTTCTACTGTTACCCTACTGGTTCTGCTATTACTCTACTGGTTCTACTGTTACTCTACTGGTTCTGCTGTTACGTTACTCTACTGGTTCTGCTGTTACCGTACTGGTTCTACTGTTACCCTACTGGTTCTACTGTTACTCTACTGGTTCTGCTGTTACTCTACTCGTTCTGCTGTTACCGTACTGGTTCTGCTGTTACTCTACTGGTTCTACTGTTACTGTACTGGTTCTGCTGTTACTTTACTGGTTCTACTGTTACCGTACTGGTTCTGCTGTTACCGTACTGGTTCTACTGTTACTCTACTGGTTCTGCTCTTACCGTACTGGTTCTGCTGTTACCGTACTGGTTCTGCTGTTACCGTACTGGTTCTACTGTTACTGTACTGGTTCAGCTGTTACTCTACTCGTTCTACTGTTTCTATACTGGTTCTGCTGTTACCCTACTGGTTCTGCTGTTACTCTACTGGTTCTACTGTTACTCTACTGGTTCTGCTGTTACGTTACTCTACTGGTTCTGCTGTTACCGTACTGGTTCTGCTGTTACCGTACTGGTTCTACTATTACCCTACTGGTTCTACTATTACCCTACTGGTTCTGCTGTTACTCTACTGGTTCTGCTGTTACTCTACTCGTTCTGCTGTTACCGTACTGGTTCTGCTGTTACTGTACTGGTTCTGCTGTTACTGTACTGGTTCTACTGTTACTTTACTGGTTCTACTGTTACCGTACTGGTTCTGCTGTTACCATACTGGTTCTGCTGTCACTCTACTGGTTCTACTGTTACTGTACTGGTTCAGCTGTTACTCTACTCGTTCTACTGTTTCTATACTGGTTCTGCTGTTACGTTACTGTACTGGTTCTGCTGTTACCCTACTGGTTCTGCTGTTACCCTACTGGTTCTGCTGTTACCGTACTGGTTCTACTGTTACTCTACTGGTTCTGCTGTTACCGTACTGGTTCTGCTGTTACCGTACTGGTTCTACTGTTACTCTACTGGTTCTACTGTTACCCTACTGGTTCTGCTGTTACTCTACTGGTTCTGCTCTTACCGTACTGGTTCTGCTGTTACCATACTGGTTCTGCTGTTACTCTACTGGTTCTACTGTTACTGTACTGGTTCAGCTGTTACTGTACTCGTTCTACTGTTCTATACTGGTTCTGCTGTTACGTTACTGTACCGGTTCAGCTGTTACTATACTGGTTCTGCTGTTACTCTACTGGTTCTACTGTTACCTACTGGTTCTGCTGTTACTCTACTGGTTCTACTGTTACTCTACTGGTTCTGCTGTTACGTTACTCTACTGGTTCTGCTGTTACCGTACTGGTTCTACTGTTACCCTACTGGTTCTGCTGTTACTCTACTGGTTCTGCTGTTACTCTACTGGTTCTGCTGTGGGTTCTGCTGTTACTCTACTGGTTCTACTGTTACTCTACTCTACTGGTTCTGCTGTTACCCTACTGGTTCTGCTGTTACTCTACTGGTTCTACTGTTACTCTACTGGTTCTGCTGTTACGTTACTGTACTGGTTCAGCTGTTACTATACTGGTTCTGCTGTTACTCTACTGGTTCTACTGTTACCCTACTGGTTCTGCTGTTACTCTACTGGTTCTACTGTTACTCTACTGGTTCTGCTGTTACGTTACTCTACTAGTTCTGCTGTTACCGTACTGGTTCTACTGTTACCCTACTGGTTCTGCTGTTACTCTACTGGTTCTGCTGTTACTCTACTGGTTCTGCTGTGGTTCTGCTGTTACTCTACTGGTTCTACTGTTACTGTACTCTACTGGTTCTGCTGTTACCCTACTGGTTCTGCTGTTACTCTACTGGTTCTACTGTTACTCTACTGGTTCTGCTGTTACGTTACTGTACTGGTTCAGCTGTTACTATACTGGTTCTGCTGTTACTCTACTGGTTCTACTGTTACCCTACTGGTTCTGCTGTTACTCTACTGGTTCTGCTGTTACTCTACTCGTTCTGCTGTTACCGTACTGGTTCTGCTGTTACTGTACTGGTTCTGCTGTTACTGTACTGGTTCTACTGTTACCGTACTGGTTCTGCTGTTACCGTACTGGTTCTACTGTTACTCTACTGGTTCTGCTCTTACCGTACTGGTTCTGCTGTTACCATACTGGTTCTGCTGTCACTCTACTGGTTCTACTGTTACTGTACTGGTTCAGCTGTTACTCTACTCGTTCTACTGTTTCTATACTGGTTCTGCTGTTACGTTACTGTACTGGTTCAGCTGTTACTATACTGGTTCTGCTGTTACTCTACTGGTTCTGCTGTTACCGTACTGGTTCTGCTGTTACTGTACTGGTTCTGCTGTTACTCTACTGGTTCTACTGTTACCCTACTGGTTCTGCTGTTACTCTACTGGTTCTACTGTTACTCTACTGGTTCTGCTGTTACGTTACTCTACTGGTTCTGCTGTTACCGTACTGGTTCTACTTTTACCCTACTGGTTCTGCTGTTACTCTACTGGTTCTGCTGTTACTCTACTGGTTCTGCTGTGGTTCTGCTGTTACTCTACTGGTTCTACTGTTACTCTACTCTACTGGTTCTGCTGTTACCCTACTGGTTCTGCTGTTACTCTACTGGTTCTACTGTTACTCTACTGGTTCTGCTGTTACGTTACTGTACTGGTTCAGCTGTTACTATACTGGTTCTGCTCTTACTCTACTGGTTCTACTGTTACCCTACTGGTTCTGCTGTTACTCTACTGGTTCTACTGTTACTCTACTGGTTCTGCTGTTACGTTACTCTACTGGTTCTGCTGTTACCGTACTGGTTCTACTGTTACCCTACTGGTTCTGCTGTTACTCTACTGGTTCTACTGTTACCCTACTGGTTCTGCTGTGGTTCTGCTGTTACTCTACTGGTTCTACTGTTACTCTACTCTACTGGTTCTACTGTTACCCTACTGGTTCTGCTGTTACTCTACTGGTTCTGCTGTTACTCTACTGGTTCTACTGTTACTCTACTGGTTCTACTGTTACTCTACTGGTTCTGCTGTTACCATACTGGTTCTACTGTTACCCTGCTGGTTCTGCTGTTATACTACTGGTTCTACTGTTACCCTGCTGGTTCTGCTGTTACTCTACTGGTTCTGCTGTTACTCTACTGGTTTTAATGTTACTGTACTGGTTCTGCTGTTACTCTACTGGTTCTACTGTTACTCTACTGGTTTTAATGTTACTCTACTGGTTCTACTGTTACTCTACTGGTTCTACTGTTACTCTACTGGTTTTAATGTTACTCTACTGGTTCTACTGTTACTCTACTGGTTCTACTGTTACTCTACTGGTTCTGCTGTTACGTTACTCTACTGGTTCTGCTGTTACCGTACTGGTTCTACTGTTACCCTGCTGGTTCTGCTGTTATACTACTGGTTCTACTGTTACCCTGCTGGTTCTGCTGTTACTCTACTGGTTCTGCTGTTACTCTACTGGTTCTACTGTTACTCTACTGGTTTTAATGTTACTGTACTGGTTCTGCTGTTACTGTACTGGTTCTACGGTTACCCTGCTTGTTCTACTGTTACCTTACTTGTACTACTGTTACTCCACTGGTTCTACTTGTTCATCTTATTTAGATCATATTTAATCTCCTTGTTTGAGTTTCTTTGGTTTATTTTTGCATCTTTTTCTAATCACTTCCTCCCTCCCTCGCTTCCTTCCATCTTTATTCTCTTCTTCACATCAGCTGTTTCTTCTTCTTCTTCTCTCTTTCCGTCATCACTTTTCACTTCCTCTTGTCTTCTGTCTTTTTCCCCGCCTGTTGCTTCTTCTTGCTTTTTTTGATCCAGTCTTTTCGTCTCTTTTCCTTTTTGTCTTCTCATTCTATGATCGTCCTCCTCCTCTCTGACAGCAGTCTTTCTTCTTCTCTGACAGGAGGTCTCACTCTGTCATCATCATGGCCAACTGGACTGACTGTCTGAACTTTGCTGTCTCCATCGCCAAACAGGCCAGTGAGGTAAGAGACACACGGACCAGTCACTGAGCCAGAGGTCAGACATCGACCAATCGGAGAAGTAGATGATGATGTCACTGTCCAGTTGTGAAGGAAGAAGAATCTGTAGTAATTATGTTGGAACAGTTTAAATGTTAGAGGTGCCGACCAATAGCAGCGCAACAGGAGATGTGTCCGTCCAATTCATTAGCATGTAGCTGCAGTACCGGAGGCTGCAGTTTCAGGAACGCAATCCTGGGACCGGAACAGCATTTCTAGGACCCTTGTTTACTTTCATACGCCCAGCTAGCCAATGACCCCTCACCACAACCATCACCAAGTGTGGGCCTAAACTTAAGTTACTGACTATATGCAAGTCGACCGGCAGGCAGGGTTAACCTCCTTCGTGTTGCTGTGCATTACCACCACCGCTCCACTAGATGGCGCTGTCGCAGAAGAACTGCGGTCCCAGGATTGCGGGGGTCCTGAATCTGCAGCCTCTGGTACTACAGCTACATAATGTTGGTCCAATCAGCTGCAGGCGAGTTCCTGATGGTGAGTTCAGGTTCAGTTCACAGTTTTGTAACGTTCAGCTTCGATGAACGCGCAGAGGAACGTGAGGTTTTTGTGTTTGAGCGGCTGACCTTCACCTGCACTCAGGTACGCACACGCCTGAAACACACTGAAACACACACAGGTGTGCTCAGGCGAGCGTCCTGCTGCATGTTTTTCTTTTCTTTTGTGTTTTAATCACCTGAGTTTAGAAAGGAGTACTTCCTCTACTCCATGTAAACAACTAAGTAACTATCTAGATACTACTGATACTGTTGATGATATCACCTCATACTACTACTGAGAACCTCGTGTTTTTCAGACGGTCCTGTCGGCGTTTCAGCAGCAGAAAGACGTGAAGCTAAAAAGTTCTCCGGCTGATCTGGTGACAGAAACTGACAGGTTCTACTTTTATTCTACTGTAAGAACAAATATCCACAACACAGGTTCTACTTTTATTCTACTGCAGAACAAATATCCACAACACAGGTTCTACTTTTATTCTACTGCAGAACAAATATCCACAACACAGGTTCTACTTTTATTCTACTGCAGAACAAATATCCACAACAAAGGTTCCAATAGTGTTTATTAGTACAATTTCCATAAATGATAAAGCTGGCAGTCCAAAAGACAAAATAACTCCATCATCCAGAAGGCAAAAGAAAAGCAGTAATCCAAGAAGGGAAAGAACCACAATCATCCAAAAAGTGGCTGTGAAAACACACTGAGACGTCAACGAAAAGACGAACGACAACGACCGATTAAAAGATAGAGACTTAAATACACAAAGGGACAAAGTTGTGACCTCTTTAACATGTCATTTGCATGTTTCCTGTACGTTCCCGTTTCCGCGCGTTGTGACCTGTTTAATGTGTCGTATGAGTGTTTCCTGTACGTTACGGTATCCGCACGTTGTGACCAGTTTAACGTGTCGTTTGCGTGTTTCCTGTACGTTCCCGTTTCCGCGCGTTGTGACCTGTTTAATGTGTCGTATGAGTGTTTCCTGTACGTTACGGTATCCGCACGTTGTGACCAGTTTAACGTGTCGTTTGCGTGTTTCCTGTACGTTCCCGTTTCCGCGCGTTGTGACCTGTTTAATGTGTCGTATGAGTGTTTCCTGTACGTTATGGTATCCGTGCTTTGTGACCTGTTTAACGTGTCGTTTGCGTGTTTCCTGTACGTTCCCGTATCCGCGCGTTCTGACCTCTTTAACGTGTCGTTTGCGTGTTTCCTGTACGTTCCCCTATTCGCGCGTTCTGACCTCTTTAACGTGTCCTTTGCGTGTTTCCTGTACGTTCCCCTATTCGCGCGTTCTGACCTCTTTAACGTGTCGTTTGCGTGTTTCCTGTACGTTCCCCTATTCGCGCGTTCTGACCTCTTTAACGTGTCCTTTGCGTGTTTCCTGTACGTTCCCCTATTCGCGCGTTCTGACCTCTTTAACGTGTCCTTTGCGTGTTTCCTGTACGTTCCCCTATTCGCGCGTTCTGACCTCTTTAACGTGTCCTTTGCGTGTTTCCTGTACGTTCCCCTATTCGCGCGTTCTGACCTCTTTAACGTGTCCTTTGCGTGTTTCCTGTACGTTCCCCTATTCGCGCGTTCTGACCTCTTTAACGTGTCCTTTGCGTGTTTCCTGTACGTTCCCCTATTCGCGCGTTCTGACCTCTTTAACGTGTCGTTTGCGTGTTTCCTGTACGTTCCCCTATTCGCGCGTTCTGACCTCTTTAACGTGTCCTTTGCGTGTTTCCTGTACGTTACGGTATCCGTGCGTTATGACCTCTTTAACGTGTCGTTTGCGTGTTTCCTGTACGTTACCGTATCCGTGCGTTGGGGACGGCAGCAGTCGACATGTGTCAGGTGGCGATGGGTGGAGTCGACGTGTACTATCACATCGGGATGCACTGCTGGGACATCGCCGCCTCTGCCGTCATCGTCCAGGAGGCTGGAGGCGTTGTCATGGATACAGATGGTCTGTGCCTGTGATGTCATATCTTACCTGCGTGTACCTGGGGACATGTCCTCCTCTCATTGGTCCATGTGTCTCCTCAGGCTCAGAGTTCGACATGATGTCCAGGAGAGTAATCGCTGCCAGCTCTTTTGCCGTGGCAAATCGTATCGCTCAGGTCATTCATACATTTCCCTGTCGCCGTGACGACGATGACCCCTGCGCACCTGTGTGTGGAGAGACAGGTGTGAACGGAGAGAGGGTGAACTGACAGGAAGTGTGACGGATGTGTTTCTGCAGAGAAGCTGACACACAACAAGGAGACGATGAAGCTCTGAGATCTGCAGAAACAACTGCTGCAGAGCGTCATCGCTTTAACAGTCTCAGAATGAGGAACAATGACCCCTTCTTTCCCATGTTGTTATCGTTATTATTATTATTATTATTATTATTACAATATTTGGAAGTTTTAAAGTTTCTTTTAAGGTCATTATAGCTTATTCCAGGAAGAGGTTGTTGGAAAGTTGGAAACTTTGCAGATTTACATAAGATATCAGACGTGATATTATTTATTATTATAATGAAATAATAATAATTAATATTATTAGTAAAAACTATACTATACTACTATTTTTATGATAATAGTGTGTGTGTGTGTGGGGGGGGGGCTGCAGTGATGTGTAGTTCACGGAGTGACCAGCAGCAGGCAGCAGCACTCTGCAGAAGAAGAAGAAAAAGAAGAAGAAGAAACCCGGAAGTGTGTGAGCCGCTGACCCGCAGCAGCAGATTATCTTCGGACATCATCAGGTGAGATTTATTGACTTTTAATGTTGTTTTATTTTGTTGGCTTGTACAAGTTTTTTCCGGCGGAAGCGGCTCCTCCTCCACGTTAAAGCTCCGTGTTAAATCACTGGGTTTAACCGCGCAGTGCGAGTGCTCAGTAGCTGTATTTGACATCCGTCACACCAGACTCCGTTCAGAAATGTGCCATTTTAAAGCCGCTCCGTTCATAAAGACCCGCAGCGCGGCAGCACGCACAGTTTTCGGGTATCTGACACGTCATCACGTACCGCCGGTTAATACGGCTCATTACTAATCCGTCATCTAATTCCTGAAATCAATTTTAAATAATCATCCAGAGACCCTGTAGAGACCACAGACTGTCCGGAGCTGCTGGCAGCGCCCCCCAGCGGCCGCCTGCAGGCACTGACACGGGCTCAGTGTTTCTACTGATGTTTGGTTTAATTAGACTGAGATCAGTGGGTGAATAAATAAACTCACACACTGCAGTCCACACATGAAATGAACGTTTACAGTCAGTGAATATATTTGAACTTATTTTACCGGGCAGGTCAGAACCAGTTCTTAGTTTCCGTGACGGCCCGCTCGGAGGTCAAACATGCCTCCATGGTGACGGAGCATCGTGATCAGTCTCTAGCTCCACAAACATGAGATGAAGATAAAAAAGACACATCTTCAAAGACACAAATGAAACTCACTGATCACTACTAAATGTCACTACTAAAATAAATAAAAGATGTTTCCTGTTGATGCAGGTACAGAAGTCCCTTAAACTAATGAGCTGCTCATGTGGTCTCAGTGAAGAGGTCAGAGCGAGCCCCGCCCCAATTTGGACATTTTCACATTAGGGGTGTCCTCACTTCTGTTGCCAGCGGTTTAGACATTAATGGCTGTGTGATGTGTTATTTTGAGGGGACAGCAGATTTACACTGTTATACAAGCTGCACGCTCACTACTTTACACTGTTATACCAGCTGTACGCTCACTTCTTTACGCTGTTATACAAGCTGCACGCTCACTACTTTTCCCTGTTATACCAGCTGTACGCTCACTTCTTTACACTGTTATACGAGCTGCACGCTCACTTCTTTACACTGTTATACATGTTATACAAGCTGCACGCTCACTAGTTTACACTGTTATACAAGCTGTACGCTCACTACTTTACACTGTTATACATGTTATACAAGCTGCACGCTCACTACTTTTCCCTGTTATACCAGCTGTACGCTCACTTCTTTACACTGTTATACAAGCTGCACGCTCTCTACTTTACACTGTTATACAAGCTGCACGCTCTCTACTTTACACTGTTCTACAAGCTGCACTACTTTACACTGTTATACAAGCTGCACGCTCACTACTTTACACTGTTATACAAGCTGCACGCTCTCTACTTTACACTGTTATACAAGCTGCACGCTCACTACTTTACACTGTTATACAAGCTGCACGCTCACTACTTTACACTGTTATACAAGCTGCACGCTCACTAGTTTACACTGTTATACAAGCTGCACGCTCACTAGTTTACACTGTTATACATGTTATACAAGCTGCACGCTCACTAGTTTACACTGTTATACAAGCTGTACGCTCAATACTTTACACTGTTATACAAGCTGCACGCTCACTACTTTACACTGTTATACATGTTATACAAGCTGCACGCTCACTAGTTTACACTGTTATACAAGCTGTACGCTCACTACTTTACACTGTTATACAAGCTGCACGCTCTCTACTTTACACTGTTATACCAGCTGCACGCTCACTACTTTACACTGTTCTACAAGCTGTACGCTCACTACTTTACACTGTTATACATGTTATACAAGCTGCACGCTCACTAGTTTACACTGTTATACATGTTATACAAGCTGCACGCTCACTAGTTTACACTGTTATACAAGCTGCACGCTCACTACTTTACACTGTTATACAAGCTGTACGCTCACTACTTTACACTGTTATACCAGCTGCACGCTCTCTACTTTACACTGTTATACAAGCTGCACGCTCACTACTTTACACTGTTATACATGTTATACAAGCTGCACGCTCACTAGTTTACACTGTTATACAAGCTGCACGCTCACTACTTTACACTGTTATACAAGCTGCACGCTCACTAGTTTACACTGTTATACAAGCTGCACGCTCACTAGTTTACACTGTTATACATGTTATACAAGCTGCACGCTCACTAGTTTACACTGTTATACAAGCTGTACGCTCAATACTTTACACTGTTATACAAGCTGCACGCTCACTACTTTACACTGTTATACATGTTATACAAGCTGCACGCTCACTAGTTTACACTGTTATACAAGCTGTACGCTCACTACTTTACACTGTTATACAAGCTGCACGCTCTCTACTTTACACTGTTATACCAGCTGCACGCTCACTACTTTACACTGTTCTACAAGCTGTACGCTCACTACTTTACACTGTTATACATGTTATACAAGCTGCACGCTCACTAGTTTACACTGTTATACATGTTATACAAGCTGCACGCTCACTAGTTTACACTGTTATACAAGCTGCACGCTCACTACTTTACACTGTTATACAAGCTGTACGCTCACTACTTTACACTGTTATACCAGCTGCACGCTCTCTACTTTACACTGTTATACAAGCTGCACGCTCACTACTTTACACTGTTATACATGTTATACAAGCTGCACGCTCACTAGTTTACACTGTTATACATGTTATACAAGCTGCACGCTCACTACTTTACACTGTTATACCAGCTGCACGCTCTCTACTTTACACTGTTATACAAGCTGTACGCTCACTACTTTACACTGTTATACCAGCTGCACGCTCTCTACTTTACACTGTTATACAAGCTGCACGCTCACTACTTTACACTGTTATACATGTTATACAAGCTGCACGCTCACTAGTTTACACTGTTATACAAGCTGCACCCTCACTACTTTACACTGTTATACAAGCTGCACGCTCACTACTTTACGCTGTTATACAAGCTGCACGCTCACTACTTTACGCTGTTATACAAGCTGCACGCTCACTACTTTACGCTGTTATACAAGCTGTACGCTCACTACTTTACACCGTTATACAAGCTGTACGCTCACTACTTTACACCGTTATACAAGCTGCACGCTCACTACTTTACACTGTTATACAAGCTGTACGCTCACTACACTGTTAGACAAGCTGTACGCTCACTACACTGTTAGACAAGCTGCACGCTCACTACTTTACGCTATTATACAAGCTGCACGCTCACTACTTTACACTGTTAGACAAGCTGTACGCCCACTACTTTACACTGTTATACAAGCTGTACGCTCACTACACTGTTATACAAGCTGTACGCTCACTACTTTACACTGTTATACAAGCTGCACGCTCACTACTTTACGCTGTTATACAAGCTGCACGCTCACTACTTTACACTGTTATACAAGCTGTACGCTCACTACACTGTTATACAAGCTGCACGCTCACTACTTTACGCTATTATACAAGCTGCACGCTCACTACTTTACACTGTTATACAAGCTGTACGCTCACTACTTTACGCTGTTATACAAGCTGTACGCTCACTACTTTACACTGTTATACAAGCTGTACGCTCACTACTTTACGCTATTATACAAGCTGTACGCTCACTACTTTACACTGTTATACAAGCTGTACGCTCACTACTTTACACTGTTATACAAGCTGTACGCTCACTACTTTACACTGTTATACAAGCTGTACGCTCACTACTTTACACTGTTATACAAGCTGTACGCTCACTACTTTACACTGTTACACAAGCTGCACGCTCACTACTTTACGCTATTATACAAGCTGCACGCTCACTACTTTACACTGTTATACAAGCTGCACGCTCACTACTTTACACTGGAGCAAAGGGTCATTTCTTCAGTGCTTCACATGGAAAGATAGAATCAGATATTTACAAACATCTGTATTCATTTTGTGAGATACTGTATATACAAACAACGTAAACACAGACTTTGTATTTATACAAACAACGTGTGTGTGTCCTTAACCTGCTGAACGCTGACAACATTCTAATAACACGTTTACTCACATGCTGCTGCTGCTGAGGAATAATGTCCCTCAAGGCTTCCATACAGGTTCTTCTTCTTATGTCTTTATAAGGAGCTGCTCCTCCAACATGGCCGACATCTGGCAGGACGCCATGGACCACGCTGTCGCCACTGCACGCCGCGCCGGAGAGGTCAGAGTGTTGCTGTGTGTTACACTCTCAGCTCAGTGTGTGATGCTGTTGTTTGTTCTATTGATCAGGTGTATTGACGTGTGCATTGATCAGGTGTATTGATCAGGTGCATTGATCAGGTGTATTGATCAGGTGTATTGACGTGTGCATTGATCAGGTGCATTGATCAGGTGCATTGATCAGGTGTATTGATCAGGTGTATTGACGTGTGCATTGATCAGGTGGATTGATCAGGTGGATTGACGTGTGCATTGATCAGGTGTATTGACGTGTGCATTGATCAGGTGCATTGATCAGGTGTATTGATCAGGTGTATTGACGTGTGCATTGATCAGGTGGATTGACGTTTGCATTGATCAGGTGTATTGATCAGGTGCATCGACGTGTGCATTGATCAGGTGTATTGATCAGGTGCATCGACGTGTGCATTGATCAGGTGTATTGATCAGGTGCATTGACGTGTGCATTGATCAGGTGCATCGACGTGTGCATTGATCTGGTGCATTGATCAGGTGCATCGACGTGTGCATTGATCAGGTGCATTGATCAGGTGCATTGACGTGTGCATTGATCTGGTGTATTGATCAGGTGCATTGATCAGGTGCATTGACGTGTGC